CATTGCAATCATTAAGTATTTTTTTTTTTTTTACAGGCAATAAATGAAACCCATTTAGGTATTACTATATAAGTATCAATTGAAAATAATCTACATGTGTATACAATAGATACTTAATGAAAAGATTATAAAGTTGTAATAGACAAAAGAGAAGTGCGTTAAATAGCTCGTTTGCAAGTTTAAATCGGTTGTTTTCAGAACGAGTGAATGTTACGGAACCATTCCGGCTTAAGTGAAATTCCTGAAGTCTCATTGTAGTAGTTCTTAAGTGATATTATTCGCATAATTTGGCAAGGACCAAAGTCTTTGGTTGGTAACGTTACGGTTTCATCGAATATATATACAAAAATATATATGTATACGTTTTCCCGATTATGAGATGGTCTATGAGAGATACGTTTAGAAACACATGATGTAATTATATAAAAAGTTTTTCTTAATTAAAATATATTCAATAAAGAGATATCATTATGGGAATAGTAAGAAATAATTAAAAGACACGTATATTCGTTTGAAAAGAATAATATAGCATTATTTAGTCATGATTTTTTAGATCATTATTGCAGAACATATGAAAGGATATTGCAAAATAAGAACTAAAGATATTAATCTTTATAGATATATGTATGTCATCTTTAAGTTATTTTATTTCGTATTTTGCAATAATTTCAATTTGGAATGTGCAATTGAATGTGCAATGGAATATGCAATTGAAGCAATAAAGTAAAATTGATTTTCTTGAAATTTCGAGCTTGGAATGTTACAATTATATAATTAGATATTTTTGTAATTAAAAATTATTAGAGGATCTATTTAAGAGTGATAATCGAATCGAGTTACGAGTTAAATTTGAAAAGTTTCATTACTTAATATAATCGCAGTGTTTTTAACAAGGGGAAATAATGATAACGGAGTCGAAATCACTTTTGCTCCTACGAAATGGAGCAAAAGTAATTAGAACTGTTTTATCGAGTGGAAAAAGAGAAGTAAAAAAAAAATGAATACTTGGAGACGATACGTATCAATCAGTAAATTATCGGTAATAATCTACGATACAGCTATACGCGATCAATTGAACTGTCTGTTCATTGTTAAATATCTACTAGACTCATGAACGTTTGATACTGGGGATAGACTAATGAGACTTGTACAGAGTTCATACGATACGATAGAGGTTCATTAAATTTCTTACTAATCGATCTGCCATCGATTCTGAATCTAGCTTGAACACTTTTGTGAAATGGATCTTTTATATCGAAGGAACGTGACGCGAGAAAGATTCGAGTTATTATTTCTCGAATAACAAAAAAGAAAAAAAAAGAAAAATGAAAAAATAAACAAAAAGAAATGTGTTTCCTGGAAATACCTATGGACAAAATTTTTTATTTTTTACTGTTTCTATAAACAAAAACTGTCATTATCTTTTAAATTCTTGACATATTTCATATTGCATATTTAAAAATTTGATAAAGCTCTTGTTTCAAAAGTTGTTCATTTTCAAATAACATTTAAAAGGCATATATCGATACAAAAATACCATTCGACACCATTTACGTTGATATTAAATTCATAGAAGGAATATAAAATGTAAATTAGTTTGACTATATGTGCGTATGTGTGTAGGTAATATTTTACTTATGCAAGAAGGAAAGCGACGGAAATAGCATGGCAATGTCGGGATCGTTCACGTGACGATGTAAATAAATTGTCTTTACGGCGCGTCCAAATTTCCACACAAAGTAAGTATCGACCGCGAGATTCTCCAACTCGTTAAACTTTCAAGTAGTTGGACGAAGGATAATTCCGATTATTCGGTGCGTACTTCACCCGAGTGCGGCTCCAATTAGTAAAAGATCAAGAAGCGAACTCGTTTGTAGTTCTTACGTCGTTCGAAAAGAAGAAAAGAAATCTTTTTATCCGTCTGAACTTTCTCTTTTTCGTATGACTTTTCTATTTAGAATAAAAACTTAAAAAGGAATAATAATTTAACGCTTATAAGGCGTCTCGTTTGTAGACGAGACATTCTTTTAATCAATCTTTACATCTTCGTTTTATTATATATGCATATAATAAATAAGAAGCGAGACAATGGAGGGAGAATAGAATATTTTTTAATTATTTTTTAATTTACACATATTTCGCAAAATATAAAAGATTTATTTTGTTCGATTCATTGTTGTCCGATTTGTCATATATATTTTGGATGTACACTCTTTTTTTCAACATATTTAGAATCCGCAATTTTTTGCATTTCATATACGGTAAATGTAACAAATATTTTTAGACTTTAAATTTGAAATAACTGTTATATCAAATATCCAATGAAGAATGTGAATAATATGTTTAGGTGCTGATGACTTGACTGATATTAATCACTTTCGAAAATATTCTGATTATATTATCATTTCGCTTCTTACATTATTCGTCTTCTCTATGCCTTTCCATCTTCTCTACGAAAATATTAATATTAATTTTAAATCTAAAGGAAAAATATGAAAAGTTTCTTCATATTATTACTTTTATTAAATTAAAGAAAAAACCAATAAGAATCGGCTGACTTTGTACATAGCTGCGATTTACGAGAGAACCAATCAAATAATCCGTAGACGTAAGCGCGGAACGAATTTTATCATGGCGATTTGTGCAACGTGCAAAGAGTTCTTCTACACGCTCGAATGCTTTTGTTTGCCGTAATTTTCCACTTTCAAAATACGAGCACGCTGTATCGCTGTCACTTGCAATTTACTTAGAAAATTCAAATGAAAAATGTATTCGAGCGTTCTAATAAAATATAGCAGACGAGCGTGGTAAAGGATTAAAGTAAAAGTTTTTTTTTTCCGCAATCAAAAATTTGTCCTATTTCAATTAAAATATCCAGTCTATTTGTGTTCGTCGACATACATATATGTGAATGTTAAAGCTACAGCATTCACGTTAACTAAATATGAATAAGCAATGACACGAGTAAATTATAATTTCGATATTCATTATTAATATGATAAATCGTGATCTATTTATCGATGATAAATATGTAGATATTATTGATCTATCATTAAATCCAAATAAAGTTGATAACATTGATTTCTTTCTTATATGTTTTAATTATCGCCTTACGTAAGATTTTTCTCATGTTAAATTAAGAATACGAAAGGAAAGATTATAAATACATAATAATATCTGTACGAAATATCTGTAAAACACAAAATGGCCGCAAAGCGATTATACTTTCTCCTTTGTCACGTTTTTCATAAAGCTTAATTGAATGCTTTCGTGGCTATTTCCTTCAGCAGCGAACCGTACGGATCGTTGGGATTCGAAAATTTCGAGTGGAATCGGAAGCTGTGTTATTAATGACGCAGAGAGTTCGATTGCTTTTCGACGGTGAGCCGCGTGACTCGGTACCACTACGTTTCGCGAGCCACCCTCCGTTATCCAATCCTCTCCTTCTTCCTCTCCTCTTGTCTATGTCCTGCTGTAATCGATGAAAAATGTTTCAATTTTATCTCGACGAATTTAAATATTGCCCTGAGGATAACGAAAAAATCTGTTCGACAAATCGGATTGTTCGATAAAATATGCATTCTGTCACTGACTTATTCGCTTTTGAGCGAAGAATAGGATTGATAACTGTGGCACTCGATTGCACTTAAAATCAGTTTACTCTTAATATACTATCCAAGGGAATAGTAATTGATTATTCGCGATAGTATGGTAGCTATTGTTAGCGAGCATTGTAATTAACACGAGCGAAAGCCTTTTTCTTGTAGCAATTAACTAACTAATTTATTAAGAGAATTCGATTAAAACTCATAAGTGAAACGATGGGATATATGCTGTTGTTCCAATCGATATACCTACATATAGATACCTATGGCAAATATATTCTGTCGAAATTAGCTCGTTAAATGTTCGAAAATGGTGAACAATCGTTTCCTTTTTTTTTTTTTTTCAATTTCGCAAACGATTTAACATCCCTTTTCTCTATGAGAACGAACCATTTTCATCTACCCATTTCATTCTATTTCTATTTCAATGATTCGGTGATATTCAACATAAATCTAAACTGACTTAGTCGTAGTACTTACTATTTAGTTCTATGGTGACAGTAGTTTTGGGCGGTGATGCCAAGTGAGTGTTACTTGCCTCACAGGACAATTTGGCATGATGATGACTTCTCGTGAGGCCTTTCACTGTCACATTGCTTATCGTTATGACATTGCTTTCCCCTTCAGGCCCTTGTGTCTCTCGAACCTCCGTCGGTGCATCGATTTTCTGCGGCCCGAGAGACCACACGACTTGCGGTTTCGGTTTACCTGTCGCACAGAAACAGAGAAGGGGAATGAGAGAGACATACAGTATATGTTTGTATGGATGTATATATGTGAGAGATAGATGCAGAGTGAGAGAGAGAGAGAGAGAGAGACGAAAATAGCTTTCCCGAAGGGAGATAAGTTATGGAATCTCGGGAAGTTTCCAATTTCTCTATTACAGAGATGGGATATGGATCTTTGACTGACCTTGAGACGAATGTTACAACTTTATTATTTGAATGGTAATTTATAATATAATTGATTCTCAGATCATTCATTCGATTATGAATAATGTATTAATTCATTGTTGAATGCTTTTTTTGTTTCTCCGAGAATATAAAAAAAGTTTATTATACAATGACAATAAAATAAATATCTATTATCGCAATTATACAAAAGTAATATAGTTAACAATATTTTATAGAGAGGAAATAGTTATATAGATTAGATGACGGTAAAAAAAAAAAAAGAGAGAATTGACTATAAGTTTTGTTTTGTATCTCTACAATGAAAGAACGAAAGAGAATAATTAATACCGAATGAAACATTTTAATATATATTCTATATGTTGAATGCTTGGAACTATTGGAAACAACTGTTGAAATCATATTAATTAATATCAAAGTTATCTGAGATTGTAAATAATTCATAATGTTTTCATCGATATTCCTTGTTACTGACGTTTCAAAGGAACGAAGAAAGAGACGATGAATGTGTGACAGCAAATCCAAGTTAACGGGATCATTTGGACGGAATCAAAGAGACAATCCGTGTTTCCGTCTAATCTAGGAATCGATCTAATCGGATACTAGGACGAGTCAGGAGAAACATCGACATACTCTGTAGCGTCGTCAATCACGGACAACGACAGGTCTTATTTGCTCGCGACAACAGCCGATCGACGTTGAGGTCGCTGCTGATGGCATCGCTCTCTCAATCTAGACCCCGTCTGTTTCTCCAATTTATTGGCACCGCTATATCCGATGGAGATGCGCGCAAGACTTCCTACTGTTAATTACGTATGTGTTCACATTTTCATTTCGTATTGCCATCATTGTTATCTGTAAAGACAGGAAAGCTATCTCTTTGAAATTCAAAGCTTTTGTCATTCAAAGATTTGTTTGATTATTTCGATATAATACAGAATAGTCATAATCATTTTCTTTCAATCGAATTCTATAAACTTAGTTGTAATTTTACAATTTCGAAAAATAAAAAGATATAATTAAATTGAAAATTTTTGAAAAAGAATAAATGATATTTTAAAACATCTAAAAGTACAAATTTTTATCACATCCTGTATATATTCGAATAGAATACAAATTGCCTGATCTAATAATTATTTTTTAGTTTTTATATAAGCCATGTATGATTAGATACGCATCTATTCCATATGATTTTGAAATTTTCAATTAGAAAATATAATCTAGTAGATTTATAGATAGCAAATCCATTTTATAAAAGAAAAAAACAGCGTTACTTTCGACAACATTTTCAATAGTTTATTATTTAACAAACCCTCGTCTATAATCTCGTACTCTCTTACGGCGAATAATAATTTAACACTGAAAGCGCTACGTGTGGTGCATTTTTAATTAGCCAAAACCGTAATTTTACAACTTTAATATTACAGAGTTGTGATCCTACCTAGTATGAATGCGTATATTTATTACAATGGGTCTCTATTTCTGGTATATTTTCCATATGTTTCAAAGTTAATACCAAAAACTTTTGTCTTGAAGCAGCTATCTACAATTTTTTTTTCTCTTCTGCAATGCAGAAAGAGATACGAATGAGTTTCTGATTAAAAATAGTATAATATTATTAACTTTAAATTATACATTTTTAATCTATCATTAATCTATCATCAATCTATCATTTAATCTATCATCGGTTTTCGTTCTTTTCTTCGTCATTGATTTTGTCGATTTATGAACAATATTACGTCTATATCTGATATTTATTTTCTCTACATGTAGGAAAAGAATTATTAATTAATGGATGTTTTGTTAATTTGTTTGACAGATGTAATTTCAGAAAAAGAATATGACACATGCGAGGAGGTTGCATTTTTTTAAATGCAAGTTTTCGTATCTTTCTGTAGCGAATTATTCACTTAATGAGAGTAATCAGACAAAGGAAAGAGAGAGAGAGGGAGAGAAAGAAAGAGAGAGGGAGAGAAAGAAAGAGAGAGAGAGAGAGAGAGAGAGAGAGAAAGAAAGAGAGAGAGAGAGAGAGAGAGAGAACATACAAAGCGGGGATAAAGGCTTGAGGAAGGAACTAAAGGGTGCATAAAAGCGGAGATCAGGCGAACGCTCCTCTCGCTTGTCTTTCTTCCCCCATAACTTCCGAGGAATTATTTCATTGCCGGAGGAAATGAGAGAGAGAGAGAGAGAAAGAGAGAGAGAATGATGAAGACAGAGAGATAAAAAGAGAGATAGAGAGAACGAGAAGAAGATGCTTTATCGTTTCGAGGACGCTTTTATCTGTGTTATCTTGGATGTTGACGATGTATGTGTATTCTAACAAAAGATTTTATATATCTACTACAATGATTCATTTATTTAAAATTGAATTGATAAGATAGATCAAATAAAATATTCAATAATGATTTACTTTATGATCTTAATGACGATCACCTATCTTTTATTTTAATTAGATACTTAGTTATAATTTGTTTTTTAAAATGTTGTATTTTTAAACTTATTTTAATTTTATATCATATTATTAAATTTATTATCCAATTATATTTCCTTTATTTTACTTTTTTTTTTTCTACCTGACAGAACATTACTACTGTATCTGTTTTTATTATATATACTCTTGAATTTGTATATATGCGTCTTATGCTTGATTCTATTACAGTACATATATAGTATTATATTATATACATAAATACATAGGTACAATACGTACATATATATATATATGTGTGTGTATGTATGTATGTGTGTGTACTATTATATTATAGCATATGGACAATGTACATACGTCCTTTGTGTTCCGATGAAAGCCTGAAGGAAATTAAAGTGGACATGCTTAACGCACATGTACATTCAATTTTACTATTCGAGAAATTTCATTTAACCAATATTACCAGATGACAACCCGTATCATTTCATTGTAAAATAAACCATCAATGCGTCGACAATAACAAGGGACATGAGAGGACATGTTATACTCTTCTGTCAACACAGAAACTTTAGTCAAATAATAATTTGAAAAGATAGTATTTAATCGATACTGCAGTGTTGGAAGATAATATTTCGATTTATTTATCAATGTTACACATTAGGGTATTGCATTCGTTCGGAAGTAATGCATTAAAATGAAAAAAATCATAACTAGGAGAACCATTTCATTGATCGATACGATACAATTTAATTGAGTAATACGCTTGAAATTATTGATCTTATTAATATGAAATTATTGATGAAACTATAGATCTTAAGGATTGGATAATTACTCTTTAATTTATTAAAACATATTTTTATATTTTTTCACTTTTAATTTTGTGTTGTGTACATCGAATAAATGGAGTAAATTTCAGGAGACAATCGAGATAGAAGAATTTTGGGGTTGAGAACGAACGTTCCAAGATTTTCATTGCTCGCGTGTCGCGTTAAAACAAACATTTTATCGCGGTCGTCGCGGCGCGCCGTTGTAAAATTGCGTTCGCGGCGACATTCTAACAATACCGGACGAGGCTCGAGGGAACCAAGAGGAAAGTGAAGAGGAAAGCGAAGAGGAAAGCGAGGAAGAAAGCTAGGAGGAGCGTGGAAACATGGTGCATTGTGAAACAACAATGCAAGGTATAATGCACACGGTGAGGCCTACCGGAGAAAGCTTTTTCGAAGGTGAACACAGGATAACGTTGCACCATTTTTAAACGTATCCAACCCGTTGCGAATACTTCTGTTTCTATTATAGCTACGATATATCTGCTGTATCTTGCGATCGGATAAGCCCGTAAGGTTATAAGGTGAACATATCGTGACCTAGACCGACGTCAATTTTAAGAGAGAAACGGTATGAAAAAGAAAATGAAATGTTTTCTCTTTTATTTTTCCTTCTTTTCTCGATTTTCTCCAAAGTTCAAAAAGCCGATATGTGGGTGTAAGTATTATGCCTTTTACGAACACTCCAATAAACGAGCAGTAAAGTTAAAAATACAGACGACACATTTTTCTTAAGCGAGAATTTTATCGACTTTGAAATTGAACCAATTGAACGACCGGATGAATTTAAACGAATTTACGATGAGATAATACTGACACATACAACGACATCGATAAAGATCTTGGAGCCGATAGTATCATATTAGTCTGACCAAAATACAGTATCTTTTATAGTTTTATGACACGATAAAAGAAATTAAAGCTGCCATGGGCTTTGTTATTGCCTTTCATTCTCTCTTTCATTCTCTAACTCTTTTATTCTTTTTTTTCATGATCCGGAGCGTATGTATATATATATATATATATATATATATATCAAGAGTTGTGATTAGCAAGAAAAAAATCTACTTTGCACTTGTGCATGTAAAAGGCAATGCAATAAACCAAGTTGCATATATAACTTGGATAAGTTACTTTTAGCTGTACTTATGAATCTTTCTTTCTCTCCCTTTCTCTTTCTCTTTTTTTCTCTCTTTCTCTTACTCTCCACACTCACTGATCTTTCTTTTCCCTTTAAATCGCGAAGGGTAATTCGTATCTTTCGGCTTTACTAGAAGAGATGACCTGCTTTCCGGCAAACGTTCTAACTTTATGAGATGAATATACGTACACAAACTGTTTTCAAAAATATTTTTTTTTTACGTGTAAACTAATATCTATCAAATAAAAGAATTTATTTTCTCTTTTAAGCTTGTAATAAAAGCTTATTTTTAATAGCAGTAAAATATTGATTATTCGAACTACATAAAAGGCAAATTATTTCCCATAAGTTATTTATATTTTTCTCTTACGATATGTAAATAATAATCTTTCGTGGATTATATGAATTTATTATATATATATATATATATATATATATATATATATATCATTTCCAGCAGATACATTTACACACACATATAGTTTTAAATGTTTCCCAATCGTATCTTTTATCGGTGAGTTCGAAATTTCTTCGTTCGTAGCTCGATAGCGTCGCAGGATAAATCATACGTCCCGTGTGAACCTGCGACTGGCAGTGATAATAAACAATGCGAAGATTAACCTGCAAGGCTACTCTCGAGTTCTATCTATGCTTGCTGGTGTGCGTACGTTCACACGCTACTTGCAATATAGACCATAATAGACTGCATTGATGTACGTAGGTCGTTGAATAAAGTCGTGAGAGACGTTCGTCATTGTGTGCTTTTGTTCAAGTTTCATTGAAAATGCTCCGGCGTATCTTTCAAAATATTCATTTCATATTTCTTCATATTTCTTCATATTTCTTTTCTTCCAAATTGATTACATTTTTTTTTTTTTGCAATTTACTCGCGACTACGAATCAACATTTTTTATTAGTTTTCTTTTTTTACAATCTGTATATGTTAATATATCAATGGAATTTATTTTTCTCATTGAAAATTGAGAATGTGCAAACGGAACAGTCGTTTATTTCATGAAGTATTTAGCTGTCGACTACATAGTATTCCTTCTCAAGTAGATACTGTTTTGTCGTATTGTTCCTTTGAATTATCTTCTTACGTTCAGTGAAGTATAAAGAGAGAGAGAGAGACAAAGAGAGAGAGAGAGAGAGAGAGAGAGAGAGAGAAAGAGAAAGAGAGAGAGAGAGAGGAGAGAGAAAGAGAGAGAAGCATTGATTTTGCATTATGTATAATTTATCCTATGATTTTTCGCAGAATTGAAAAGATTGTCGATACATTTTCTCACGGGACTTCTAAGCAGAGATATATCGTAAAGAATACGTAGATAAATTTAACAAAATTACAGGCGAAGATAAATATTCTCTAGAAACATATTTACAAAAGACAGACCGGAACGCCGTTAAGACAAGTAGGCCTTCCAAGGATGTCTTTAGGGAGAAATGGTTATGTTTGCATTTGCCGTTGATTTGGTTTGATTCTCTAAGAGAGGAATTCCGATATTCGAAATTCCCTCGAGTTCTAATTCCCCCGACGATTTCAGACACGACGTAACGATTATATTCGCGGCCAACGTTTAATCCAACTTGATAACGAACATTTGATAATTGAATTAGTCAAAGGACACGCGCTAGAATTTCCAGTAGATAACACTTACTTCTTCCAATCATCTTTTTCCGCTCGCACGCGTTTACGTTTCGGCAAACTTCTTGTTACGAGATAATAGGTCAGGTATTCGGTACTAGCGATAGTGCACGGAAGCGAAAAACACTTCTAGTATGAGTAAACTTTGTTTCGATCTACGGTGACAAATCGTTCGTTTGAAAGTTAGGAAAAGCGTTTGGAAGAAAGTATTTGCATAAGGGCTATCGATGCAATTCCAATCGATCGATGTGAACGTTATCGAAGTTGAGACTTTTCTCGACAAAAAATACCTATCTTGAAAAATAAAAATTTTTCTGTGATAAATAAGTATAATTCGACGTCTAATAAAGATGCGTTAAGTGGATAGCGTGAAAAGGATCGTTTAGAGAACGAATCAGGGAAACAATTTTTAAAGAGAAGAGTAGGGCAATGAGGGTTCTTTAATGTGTTCGTTCGTCCATCGAGCAAACGATTTCACGTAAATCGTCTGAAAATGGGTGGGAAAAGAGGAGAAGGCGTCTTTCCGCGAATCTTGCGTATGAAACGAAAAATCCCATTTCCCTGAAAACCGCGGGTATCCTCTGGCACAAGGCCAATTCCATTTGAAGTAGCCATCGCTCGAGTCCTCCTCGGTCCTTTCTGAAAGAGAGAGAGAGAGAGAGAGAGAGAGAGAGAGAGAGAAAGAGAGAGAAAGAGTTGGAGGTTACAAATCCGGCTTACTTTTTCGTAGGCGCGCACGAGGCGTCGTGCTGCGTACTGTCGAGCTCTCTGCTGACTTTTTTGGACTTTAGCCAATTTTTATTTTTCCTTCGTCTACATACCTTTTCCTCGCAACACGGGTGACGCGACCGTACGCGAAATTGCGCCTTAGCGATGCTCTTCTTGGTTCCATATCAGGCTCTACTATCACGCTGGATATCGTCTTTCTGTTGTTTGCGTCTTCGTACTACCCGCATTCGCAAAGAATCGCTTTCTAGCACTTTGGAAGGCTTACGGACCAACGTTGAAATTGCATTCGATCGAAGACACTGCCCTTCCAATAATCGATCTACTATTCCTTTTTGACTCCTCTTATCGAATATTGGGAAGAATGCGACGATAACCAAAGATTATCCTCTTTTCTTTCGTTTCTCTATCTTTCATGTTGATATCATTGAGAAAGTAAGAGAGAGAGAGAGAGAGAGAGAGAGAGAGAAATAGAAGAAAAAGAGAGATAAAAAGGAGGGAGGGAAAAAGAGAGACAGAGAGGCAGGTAGAAAATTATTTTCAAGACGGTTTCCGTTCCATTTTCATTTCGCTGGGTTATAACCAACGATTTTTCGTCAGACCTCATTACCACGAGCACTTAGGAG